GTATCATGTATAGTATAATGTGAATGGTATACGCACCTCAGTCAATGGAAGAAAGACTGAGGTGCGGGTGTAGCGTCTAGCCATCCTTAAGTAGCAAAGAGAAAAATGGTCAGTAACTAGGGTGGATGACAGTCAGTGACAGTGGCAGCTAAGGTACATAGAACTGGAACCGTTAGATATATCTATCTGGAACCGGCTCAGTGCTCTGACGGATCACCTCTCAACAAGCCAGGTACGTCCAAGAGATTCCTTGAACACGTTTAAGAAGGTAGAACTACTGCTGCAGGCCCGTTTTTGACAATGATTCCGGCCCCCTCGAGTAGTATACCCGCTGAAGACGACCATTAGTTCCGTAGCGCTGCATGTTCGGATGAGACTTGATCTTACCAAGAGGTTAGCAAGCAAAGTGATTGAACTTAGGCGCCACTGCTGCCTATGTATATCTCTTGCCACGCCCTTTATGCATGGCACTGGTAGCTGTGCATTGCAGTGCCCTGGGCGCTTATGTACCTCAAATAGTCTTCCGCTGCGAAGGTTATGACACGTGGAATCAATGTGAAGAAATCGAACGAACTGAACCACCACCTCCCATATTTAAATGCTTTTAAGCTGCTGCTATTCTTATCCCTTACAGTGATTTGCCTTGGTCGACGCAAACAAAACTGATAAGCGGTCGAGTACAGGTAAGCAGTGTTTTTTGGTTGCATTTGAAGCGGCCGCAAGCTATCCTTCCTCTAATAGAATAGCGGAGACTGAGAGCGGACGAATGGACGAATGCAAGTCATCACATGGCGCCTTAATCGACAGATAGTCTTACAGTGCCCCCGTGTTTGTCCACAATATTGATTTATCGTTCTGTCTCTTGTTGAGTATATGTATCACAGATAAAATGCAAGAGTTATTGGTTCTACCCCCAAAATGAATGGGGTTGATACAAGTGGGGTAGGTGGCACAGCCAGTCATGAACGATGGCGCACTATTCATCAAAATTGCTATAAATAAATAAATGAGGGTGTCAGCTGAACGGCTCTCGAAATGAATATGCATATGCACTGGGACTTCTACCCACCATCCGGGTGAGCGCTTGAGTTTCATCTCTAGGGAATGCACTTGACTTGGCGTGGGACAGGTCGCCTCGGGTTCCGTATCCCTCCACAATACTAACAACAGCACCTTTCCCGACGACACACACTCCGATGGGATATTCCTCGAGTCTCCGACCACCTTTCCACGTGCCATAGTGCAAACGCCAAGACGGAGATATACCTCGAGGAAAGTAAGGGAATTCATGGCGAGGAAGGTGTGGTCATCTGGTAAAGTTTCGTCTGGCTGAACTTGGTGGAAAGCAATGGAACCCAGCTGCCAAAGCTCCTTCTTGATAATGGGAAACTCAAATAATTGACGATTGCCGCATGGAGCCCGGGGAGGCCTTACGAGAACGCACTGAGATACGTCTGAGCTGTATTTAGAGGGCACCCATTGCACCGCGGTAGACGTTTCTTGTGAGTCAGAGATCTTTGGACAAAATAAGTGGAAGTACACGTCAAATCGATGAGTTGAAGAAGTCACTCACCTGAAGTCTTCTTAGACTTCGTTCCAATTGGCTTGCAGCAGAGGACATTTTCGAGACTTATGTTAACTTGGCACCTAGCCTTTTATCCCCTCATTGTACTTATCGGACCTTGAAAGCCCTAATTGTATTCGCAGGCTCAACTTTACAAATCAGCGGCCCCCATCCATATCGAGAGTGGCATCAATCATCCTCCCCACAACCCCGCCCAGGGCAACTACAAAGTGTCTAGCTGCACATGTCCTGTGCATATTTTTTTAACTCGTGTTTGGATGGTGGCGGTTCGCTTCCGCTGCTCTCTGCTTCGCCTTTTAATTGGGAGCATGAGCAGCGGTTTTGCACATGACGCGGGTTTCGTTGGCAGTTGGGCTGTCACCATCATTTCTTTATGAGCCTGCACTTGCGCAGCTTCGTTAGCAGCCCGTTCGCCCTGGACTGTCGTCATCATTTCCGTGTAACCCTGCGCCTGTGCGGCTTGTATCGCTGCTAGCTGAGCTTCCGCAGCCTTTTGCTATGATTCTTGATTCGCCTGGATGAGCTGTGTTGACTCAGCCTCAGCAACTGGTCTCTGAGTGTGATCAACAAAAATGGTAATACGTGGGCCTATTAATGGTCACGTATATCTCTCGAGCTGATGGAACTTACTGCTATGTGCAGCCTTGGGCGTGGAAAGAAACATTCACCTAACAACACTGTTTAGAGTACGTTCTATGGTTTTTCAGAATGAGAACGAATAAATGCATGTTTTCTTCAAGGTGTTTGTATTGTGCCTGCAGCTAGGAAAATGAGTTACTACGTCAAAATCATGCATGTCATGCAAGACACTTAATTGATTTGATCGACAAGAGAGCGTTTTGAGGGAGAAGGTCTCACTGCTCTTGTGGCCACAGGCGCCTCCTAGAGATTATGATATGAGAATATTTATTTCATGAACGAGGACATTGCGTGCGTGTTGCTTGTTCTTCCTATGTTCGCGCTGGCCCCAAATATTTGGCTAGAATCAACCCTGCAAAGTTAAGCATCACAGATAAATTACAGGAGTTATTGGTTCTAACCGTAGAAAATGAATGAAATTTCTATAAGTGGGGTAGGTGATACAGCCAGTCATGGAACGATGGCTGAATATTCATCAAAATGGCTGAAATCCAAAGGTGTCAGCTGAACGGCTCTCAAAATGAACATGCATACGCACTGGGACTTCCACCCACCATCCCGGTGGGCGCTTAAGCTTCTTCTCCAGGGAATACACTTGACTTGGCGTAGGACAGGTAGCCTCTGGTTCTGTATCCCTCCACAATACCAACAACAGCGCTTCTCCTGATGACACACACCATGAAGGGATATTCTTCGGGTCTCCAACCACCTTTCCGGAAGTTAAGTCTAATCCACACGCCTCTACCCAGCGGACCGCATTTCGAGGGTGGCGTCACTATGTACTAACCATCGAACAAGGTTATGACACATGTCCTATTTAATTACTAATCAGATGTCCAATTTGGCAAGTGTAGTAGTTAAAACATTAACTTGTCGTCCTCAGGCTGTTACTATTGATTCGCAGTGCATTTTTACTAGGCATAAAGAGCAAGTTTTATTGGCGTTGCTACTTCCTACTTCACTTCTTGGTACTGTATAGTGATTCACCATCGACACTCAGCCCCCCGTTACGTAACTTGTTGGTACTCATAAGCAGCGTACTTCGCATTGTTTTCTCCTCAGCGTTTGTTCTGACTCACGCTGAGGTATGTCTTGTTATTCTTGTAGACCTCACTCGTAGACTAATGTACTCTAGACTGACTCGTTCTAGGTACATACCAATATTAACGTTTGTTCTGACTCACGCTGAGACTGACTCGTTCTAGTCAAGAGGTTATGAGCCCTGAGCTTTAATTAGCTCGAAAATCAGACTAGGAACGACTAGGCTCACAGAACACGTTGAAGACGCTCGTTGAACCACCGATTAAAATTCATCGTTCACACCTTGCGTATATCCACGATCGTCACCCATGGGAAAATTCGATCATATTGCGGAACTGCATGGTGCAGAAACTTACCCAAGCTGGCGCAGGGCAGTTAGACTTGCCCTCGCGGGAGAAGGATTATGGAACCACTGTAGCAGTGGCACTGATCCTAATGACGTTGCCGAGTACGCCAGCAACATTCCGACCCCAGCGATAGCAGGGCAACCGACTCCGGATGAGCGGAAATTGATAAAGGAATGGCTAAAAGAGGACGCACAGGCAAAAGCCATCATCGCGCGTAAGCTTTCTCCCGTGGTGCAAAATATGCTCGACGAGAGCTTCTCGGCACGAGACCAATGGAACACGTTAGCGAGGCGATTCGCGCATCTAGACGTAACTTCACAATTTGAATTACGCACTCAGCTCTTTGCGGAGAAGCTCAAAGACGCCGAGGACGCCTCTCGCTACATCAGCGTGTTTGAGAATGGGCGCCGGCGCTTCGCCGCAATGGGGGTGACGTTTACAGATGAAGAAGCGATCTGGATGCTCCTCCATGGGCTCCCAGATACACCGCAATGGGTTGTATTTAGAAGCCTTGCAATCGGCACCTACAATAATCAATCCTCCATCGCTTCAGTGTCAGCTTCATCGACGATTACTCCCGCTCCACCGTCGAAGATGACGTTCGAGCAGCTTGCAACATTGCTCTCTGGGGAAGCCAACCGTCAGTGTGGCCAACTGAAGTTAGCCAGGCCTGGATCTGAATACGCAAATGCCGCCAACACCGTGACACAATCATTCCCTGAACGAAGAGTAAATTCAGCAACAGGCGTGCGTATCCACAAGCAAAATCCAAAAGGAGTACCTTGTGATAACCCAGCTTGCGCTGGACTGCCTCGATCTCTTACGCATGATCGCGAGCACTGCATGCAACAAGGAGGAGGCATGGGAGGGAAAACGCTTTGGAGACAGAAGGGTGGAAAACCGAAAAGGGACGTTGCAGCTATTGCAACCGAAGGCAAGGCAGCTAATAACGTCAACAACACTGCCAGTGCACCCACTTCTTCATCCAATCCCCAATCTGCCAACCTAGCGTCTGACTCCTCCCATAGACGAGAACTCTCTTGTGCAGTCATTGAGGAGGTTGCTCCTCATTTTGAAGACATCTCCCTTCTTGTAGCACAGTCGCTATCCGCCATACTCGACTCAGGCACCACCTCTACTCTGATCACAGACCGTTCGTTCTTCTGGACGTACTCCAGCAGCTCCTCCGTAACCGTCAAGACGGCGAATCATGGCTTCTTGGCGACGTCTGGGGGAGGTGACTGCCTTGCTGACCTGACAATCAACGGCCATACTCGGAGGTTGCGACTCACCAATTGCCTTCATGCACCGGGTGCCTTAATCAACTTGCTGTCGGTCGGACATATGTTGAAGAAAGGGTGGGAATGCAACTTCAAGCCTCACCCATCACGCTGTCAATTGGTGTTCAGGGGCGAAGTGCTTGGTGATATTCCTCTACATGGCAACTTATGCCCAGTAGATCTGAAATTCATTCACCCAGACTCACAGCCACTCACTCGCGCCTTGCCTAACGAGATGACGGCCTTTGCACGTATTCCACTGACCTGGGATCTCTGGCACGCTCGCCTCGGTCACATCGGTGGGGAAGCAGTCAAGAGAGTACCTCTCATTGCCACAGGTGTAAAGGTCGAAACGAGCACGCCTCTTCAACGCTGTGAACCCTGCATAGTCGCCAAACACCCTCGCAAACCTTTCCCCTCCTCTGAAGAGCCTCGTGCTGCTCATCCACTGGACCTGGTGCACTCAGACCTATGCGGACCATTCCCAGTGGTCACGCCGCACGGAAAATACCATTTTATTATCTTCCTCGACGACCACTCAAATCTTCATTGACTGTTTTTTTTGCTCCAGGCGCAGCATGATTGCCGTGTGTATGTCATATTATATTGCTAATTGCGGCCGTCTGCTCGAGGGTCGGGCCAGTCTGAACAGGTGCACAGAGAACGGCCCAGTCCTTTTGAGTAGGTGGACTCGGAGTATTGCATATACGGGTCTTGCTACCACAGGCAATCATCATAAGCGCTAGCAGTTGAACGAGAGGATAATGTAGTTGGGAGCCTCAACGTTCGTCCTCGAATGAGGTGAGGAGTCGGAGCTGGCAGGTGCATACCATTTGCGGCACCATTGGTAACTTGCATGAGATTATTGTCAGATGAAAGTGCTAGACCGACAGTGAGGTCTTCGACCTGTTTCAATATTTCCTTCACCGATGAGCGCGTCGAGCCTCGACGAACATAAAAGTCAAGAAAGAGCGGTCCTGTAAACAATATGTGATGAACAATCAAAGTCGGTCAAATCCGTTTACCCGGTGACGCACCTCAGTTCAGTAGGTCGCAGACCAGGGGTACAAGGAACCCTTACTTGCTTCTAGAAAGCAGGAAACCCGGCGAAGACACGAACAGCATTTCTTGGCAGAAAAGCGTTTGGCCCGATGGGGGTTGATATTATGTATTGTTGTGTCTCATGTTGAGTATATATATCACACATAAAGTGCCAGAGTGATTGGACATGAATGAAATTGCTACAGGTGTGGGGTAGGTGACACAGCCAGTCATGGAATGATGACGGAATACTCATCAAAATTGCTGAAATTCAAGGGTGTCAGCTGAACGGCTCTCAAAATGAACATGCATACGTACTGGGACTTCCACCCACCATCCCGGTGGGCGCCCAAGCTTGTTCTCCAGGGAATGCACTTGACTTGGCGTGGGACAGTTCGCCTCAGGTTCTGTATCCCTCCATAATACCAACACCAGCACCTCTCCCGACGACACACACTCCGAAGGGATGGTCTTCGAGTCTCCAACCACCTTTCCACGTGCCATAGTGCAAACACGAAGACGGAGATATAACTCGAGGAAGGTAAGTGAATTCATGGCGAGGAAGGAGTGGTTGTCTGGTAAAGTTTTGTCTGGTTGAATATGATGGAAAGCAATGGTCCCCATGTTCCAAAGTTCCTTCTTGATAATAGGGAAACCAAACAGCTGACGATTGCCGCATGGAGCTCGGGGAGGTCTTACGAGAACGTACTGAGATACGTCTGAGCTGTATCTAGAGGGCATCCATTGCACTTCGGTAGACTTTTGTGACTCAGAGATCTTTAGACAGAATGAGTACGCGCCAAATGGATGAAAGTCGAAGAGCCACCCACCTGAAGTCTTCTTAGACTTCGTTCCCTGAGTTGGTTTTCAGTGGAGGACATTTTCGAGAGGTGTTATTATAGCGAGAAGGAACTTGGCTGTAATATGTATGCAGTACTACACCACCAGCTGTGGCAGTGGGGTGACTGTGGACGCCTAAGTTGCTGATTTTGAATTTTCAATATTGCCATATAGAAGGAAGATCTTGGTCGTTTCTTCTTTGATATTATAATCCGGGCACTGTGTACAGTGCAGTCTGGGGAGAGCCGCTGTGACCGTGACGCGTTCAGACTACTAAACTACGCGCACTAATGATTGACGGTCCTCTAGGCTCTAGGCTAAGTAACGTCTGTTCCCACTCGTTGAGGTGTATTTATTCTTGTATGTAGCTCGTACCTGGACTCTACATGTACGGAAGTCGTATCGGTGTCGAATGTACTATTATCACAGCAATATACATGCTTCATCTACTGTCATTGATTCTATCCCAATGAACGTTCAATGCACCTTGACATCTTGCCAAATTACACTACCAAGGTCCCATCGCCCGCATTACAAAAATGGCACATTCTTCATCTCCCCCGTAGCAAGAAAATCCTCATCAAACGCCTCCTCAGCAGCCTCCTCCTCATTCTCTCCACCCTCCGCCTCCCCGTCATGCCCATACCCCTCCTCTCCCTCATCCCTACCATCCTCCCCAAACTGCTCATCATCCAACGACCCAGGCATACTCGTCATGCTCGTACTCCTCGGACGCCGTTTCCGCACGCTCCCCTCCTCAACGTCTGCATCAGAATCATCAGAATCCAGGAACGTAGACGATGACGAGCGCGAGTCGACGCCGCTAGATGAAGATGACTGCGCAAGCACTGCCAGTCTACCACTGAGACGTTCGAAAGAGGACATCTGCCGCAAATGTGTACTGCGCAGGCCCATTGTTCGACTCGGCGTACCCTCGCGCGCTATCACAGGCGGTGGAAGTGAAAACTGCGACATATCCCGCGATTGTCTCCGCCCTACGAGGCTGAAGTTGCGTAACCGTGCAAGTGTACTCTGATTAGACGTATCCGATCGAGCACTCAGGGCTGGGGAGGGAGGTGTAAGGTCAGGAAGGGCGAATTCCTGGACTGGCATCTTCCAATAATTAAAATCCGTGAACTCCGCTGCCCATTTCCGATGTATCGGAGGGAACATCTGATCCACGATGTCAGTCATATGTATATACCTAACAATAAATAATGAGTGCACCGAATACAAGAGACAACAATTTACGCACGATGATTTATACCCTGCGAGCTCGAGGAGCTCCATCTTGACCTCACCAGAGGAATCTATAGTAAATATCCTCGCACTCGGAATATTCACGCTGCGATACGACAGCGCATCCGTTATCCGGTTCCCAAACCCGGCATAGAACGGCGTGCGCGAGCTCTCACTGAAAAGACGTTGGATATCCCTCAAGCATGCCATCTTGAATACTTCGGGCTTCCGCATGATCACCTCGCTGGTGCACACATCAGTAATCTCCCTCCCTAGATTATATAAGCATCATACCGGTGCAGCGACGCCATCAGCCGGTCGGGACTCATGATGACGGGACCTTCAGGAAGTTGGTAGTCGTCCTGCTTGATACCCTTGAGGTAGTCGCGCGTAGAATCTGCCTGCCCGATAGCTCGCGAGGTGAGGTACATGATCTTGTATCCGTTACGCCTGATATCCGTGTACAGCTTAGCAACGCCGGAATGTGTCCAGTCACGACCAATCATAGCAAAGACATGGCCAAGCCCGTCAGACCTAGGGAAATGTCAGGTAAGATGCACGCATAGATAATGAGAAAAACCTACTTGGTGATTGTACCATCTATATCAGACACAACGACATGATCGGTCGAGTCCCATAGAAATATCCGCGCCGTACATGCGGGCACAGTAGAACTAGACAAGGAGAATGTGATGGTATTAGCACCGGGCTTAAGGTTGAGGGATTTCTGGAGAAAACATCAGATGTTTCAAAGCTGCACGGAGTATTAAAGACTAACCAGTTGGTCAGAGGTCAACCGCAGCGTCTTGGCATACCTCTTCCGTGTCCTCGCAATCTTTTCCACCAAAGCCTTACTCAAGGGTCCCATGATGTCTGGAGCGGGTGTGGCAGGAGGGGCTGATACAGACTCGGGAAATGTCGTATGACGGGGTATAAGAGGAGGATGTTTCGGTAGTGACTAGAAGAGTATCATGAGCCGCCATCCTTCTGAGCCTCACGAAACTCACAGATTCCATTGGAGAAGTATTCGACACCCTCAAAGGAGGCCGATCAGCCTCCGTTATATCCCGGCTCCGGTTCCACCACCTAACCCAACTACTAGATGTTGGTTTCCGGTGCAACTCTGGCGGTTCAGAATCCGCACGCTTCATCTCTCGTTCGTCCCCACTTGATTCCGATTCTCGTTCGTCTCCACTCGATACCGATTCCCGCTCATCGGCACTCCTTACCTCCCTCTGATCCACACCCGGGTCTCGTTCCTCTGTCATGGCCAACGGAGGTTCCGACATCGCCCTCGATGGTTCCTTCGGCGCATTCTCAACCCACAATCTCAAAGCATCCATCAACGGGCTCTCATCTTCCCTCGTGATATACTGCCCGCCCGCCCACTTAATCACCAACCCCTCATCCTCCACCACTCTCGTCTTCACCTCCCCGATCACCACCTCCTCAGAGACAAGCTGCATATAGTCGATTCTCCCCGCCTCAAATAGGCGCACGACTTCCACTTCATCGCTCCCATGGAACATCCCGCGCTTTGATGTAGGTACAAGCGAGAGAGAAAATGACAGTGCTTGGCCTTCGATGCGAACAAGGAACGTACGTGAGTCAGATGGGTGCGTGGTAAGAACACCACCTGAACCGAATCTGTGCTCAGGAAGTGGAAGTGGAGGATGATCACGTCCGACTTCGTGTTCCTGCTCATCTTCAGGAGTGTGTGTTTCGTCTTGAGGTGGTAGAGATGAGCGGATGGTATGCGGGCTACCTTCGAGCTCAGGCGGAACACTCCTACTACGCGTCAAAAACTCTTCAGCACCAAAATTGGGTGGCGCGTGTTCATCCACAGCGGGCACCTTGCCCATGCGCAATAGGTGGGTAGATGAGAAATGTGGCGTCATAGGTGAGGGCTGGGGGAACGCGCCCCATTCCCAGGAGTACTGAGGAAGCGGGATATCTTGTTGAGATTCTGAAACAGTGTGGCAGGCAGGAAACGTAGTTGTGGAAAGTGATGGGGAGTGTTTCAGAGAAGCGATTGGAGGAGTGGTTGAGGGAAAGGGGATCGCAGTTGGGGTTGGAGATTGTGAATCTGTAGCTCATTAGCCCGGCGTATAACGAGTTATATAACACTCACGGGATACACGTGAGGAAGACGCGTTGGCGGCGTCGCGTGCTTGAGCAGAATGATATCCAGCCATATCCAGCGCGACATCTGCAGAGCCTTGAGAATCATATCAAATATTGTGCAGAATGAACATACCAGCCTTGTATTGGACTTCTGGACCAGGCACGTCGGTTGGTTGTGCAAAAGGCTCCTCTGGTGGAGGGGTATGAGGAGCGCTCCTCGAGCCAAGCTTCGGTTTCGCGCCTGCATGCATCGGAATGGGATGTTTCAACCCAGACAACGCGTTCAAGTCGAGAAACTCGGGCTCCTGCATCTGTAAACTCAGATCCGACTGCTTCCCTTCCCCACCCGGCTTAGCTCCAGACCTTCCACGTTCAAAGTCACCCTGAAGTTCGCCTAGCTCTGGGGTTGGGGAAAGTAGAGGACTTGTAACGAGATCTTCTGGGATATCTTCTTCCGTCTCGAACACGAAGAATGCTTCTCCTGCGTCTCCGATTTTCATGTTGAACGGGATGAGCGAGCCATTGACTGATACGTTGACCTACTCCCAGCCATTCGACTCATTGAACACCTTGACGAAGTAAGCAGACAATGCGCACCTTCTTTTCAGCAGGTCTGAGTACTTGGAGCTTACCGAAACGGACATGGAAAGGAGAGCAGGCATAAACGTCACCATCTTGTGAACCGGAGCTAGCAGATAAAGTGGGCGATGGTGGGCGACGAATAACGATGACATCGATAGCCCCAGTCAGGGTCGATGGGTTGATATCTTTATAGTACTGATATGGGGCACTGATTGCGCTCACAGCACCACGAATGTAGTTCATCGTAGTCGCAATGTCGGTGTCGGTGTCGGCGTTTCAGCTAGTTCGAGTTCGTTGCTGGGGTCGACGTGGCGGGTAGAAGATTATTAGGATATTGGGGAGATCGTAGAATGGACTATGTGAAAGCTAATGATAGTACGTGGCTCATGATATGCACGATGAAACACGCTTGTAGATTGAAGCCCCGTTGAACAAAAGCAGGTCACGGTGGTATGTAATCATCAACGTTTTAACGTCAAGCTTCAAGTGCTATATGTAAAATCACAGGCCAGCTAGACAAATATGACATCCTCTGGCCATCACGCCGACAAACGTTTTATCAAGTATTTTGGTCGTGATCGATTTCCATAGCACTTGTGCGTAATAGAGGCTCATAAATCTGGGTTTACTAAAATACGCGATCCACGTTGAAACTAGTCATATACCATCAATCACATCATCAGAATCGAACGAAGGCTGGCTGATCTGATAGCTTTCTTCATCACTGATAGTGGACGGGGGCCTTATCTGACCTGGCAAGCCAGCCGCACTCCATGCGGCAAAACCGCCCACTATATCAGTCGCATTGAGCAACCCAAGGTCGTGGAGGGATGCCGCAGCCAAAGAGCTGGTATACCCCTCCTGACAATATATGATTATCTTTAAATCATAGCGATCTGCAATCGCCAGTCGTGCTTCGCAACGAGGGTCAAAACGCCATTCCAGAACGTTTCGTTCGATGATGAGGGATCCGTGGATCCCACCTTCACGAGCACGTTGGGAAGCTGGGCGAATATCCACAAGAAAGACCGGCATTGGGTATGTGGGGTCGTGAAGGGCGTCATAGGCTTGTCGGGGCGTCATTCGCTCGAGCTTTGACCGGGCATCGGATAGAAGTTGATCGATACTGCGAGATCCGGGTGGAGGAAGAAGAGGATCAATGGGAGAGCGTACAGACTTGGACAATACGTCCCATAAGGCAGCGTCATCATAAGATGAGCCAATATGCCTTACAGAGGCAGCAAGGAGAGTACCCGTGTTTTGAACTGCATCGACGCGTCCCAAAAATTTAGAAGATGCGAGGAGTACAGCACGCTGCACATCATCCTCATCTGACCCGCAGATTACGAGTGCGTTTGAAATGCGAGCGCCACCCCGAGTACCACGACTTGTCGGGGATGCACCGGTGGTTGCTATAGCAAAGAGATATCGAGACGAAGGTAGTCGTGCACGGATATGGGAAGTGACAAGCCGAAGAAAGCGACCATCATCTTTCTTCGAGAAGGTGAAGTGGACACCTATGCGGACACCATCGATGGTGCGTGCTTTGGTGATCATACGGAGTGCGAGGCTCTGGGCAACCTCTTCACGCACATCTGCAAGTGTGCGTGGGTTTGTCGGGAAAGTAGTTACAGTAGCAGAAGATTGAATGAGTGTGCGCTCGACAACGATATCGGTTGATGGTTCAGATGATGGCATCAGGACATCTAGTCGCTGCTCGATGATCTGCTCAAAATTATTGGTCAGTATTGTGCAATGGTCTGCATGCGGGGGTGCTAGTGTTGAAAGCGGAACTGCAACGAACAAAGTTGCCAGCGGCCAACGGGCCGAACTGATCCGGATGCACGTGCCCTTCATCCCCATAACTGTGAACCAAGCAGCGAGGAGAGGTGCAATATAGATAGCTGTCATGTGGGCACTGGGCAGGACAACGCTTTCTTACTATCTTGATCCACGCTACACGTCTTCTTGTCTTTGGTGCCATATGACACTTCCGCACGACAATCCTCCAGACCACCTTAGATAAGCACTTACGGCACATATTTAGGTCCCTCCGAGTATTGTCTTGACCCATTACTGAGCTAGTCTGTCGCTAGTAGACTGGTGACCAGCCCCTCTATGAGGCAACCAGTCTATGTCGCTAGCGTATAATCATCAAAATAGCTACGCCCGAGTTTTCTTACTACGAGCCACCTGCCAGTAACATCAAAATCCTTGATGAACTGATAATTAGCTCATCAGAGCACAAATCACTATCGACGTCAGGCCTTGACCAGCCTCGAACTCACTGCCGCCTCGAGCCCGTCTTAACTTCTACTCCCGAAGACGTAGGCCATGATGTCCATGCCGATGCAGTTCGCCAATTCTTACATGCGGTGGCGGTATCGAGGAACCTTCGATGCGTTATCACTCTTGGAGGATATTTTAATTTTAGGGAACGCAATACCTGTGAGGTTCAGGCGGGCATCGTGGAAAAAAAATCAAGGCCACTCGAGCTCAAAGATGATCACTTGCGCCATCGATATCTCCGCTGACAGCAAACTGCTGGCGAGCGGCGCAACTCCATGTCCGTGTTCAGAATTCCGGTAACTTACTGAAATTTGCAGCACGAATATGGAGTTTGGACGATACGGCAAGTCCATTCAGAAGTGCTAATGTTATAGGTGCAGTTCGATTCTTGTCAGACTAGAAGAAACTCGCAGTAAATCCGTGAAGGGTTTTGAGGTGTGGGATGTTCAATCACAGACACTGGATATCAGAGTAGGGAAACCATTTCCTGGTCGCCCACCATCGATTGTTTTGACGTATGCGCCAGTATACTGGACAAAATAAATACAACCGTATTGGGCGCACAGAGTCTGACGACCCCATAATGATCTATGAGTTCGACGCGTCGACACCGGAAACTGTCGGATCTCCATTTGAAGGTTCTTCGCAGTCTAGCGCTATCATTTGATGGTGCTCTCCTCGCCAACGCTTCATGCGACGCCACCATCAAGCTTTGGGCTTTAGTCCCACCTGCCACTCGCCTCGTTTAACACTTTTACATTCCGGCCTCGTTGCCCTCTCACCCAATTCGCACCAACTAGTCTACACGTCATATGACGAGATCCGCCTGGCATCCGGACTAACATCTGGCCTGTAGGTATTCATTACGCTCTTTTTCATCATCTTTCTGATTCACATGAATCCAACAGGCATTCTGACGCCGCCCACCATCGATTGTTTTGACGTATGCGCCAGTATACTGGACAAAAAAAACAACCATATTGGGCGCACAGAGTCTGACGACCCCATAATGATCTATGAGTTCGACGCGTCGACACTGGAAACTGTCGGATCTCCCTTTGAAGGTTCTTCGCGGTCTAGCGCTATCATTTGACGCTCTCCTTCACGCGACGACACCATCAATCTTTGGGCATCTGCCACTCGCCTCGTTTCACACTACTTTACTTCCCGGCCTCGTTTCCCTCTCACCCAATTCGCACCAACTAGTCTACACGTCATATGACGAGATCTGTACATGCAACATTCCGCCTGGCATCCTGACTAACATCTAGTCTGTAATGGAAGTAGTGAAAGGTATGCATTACATTCTTTTTCATCATCTTTCTGATTCACATGAATCCAACACGTATTCTGCCGCAACCCGTCGTCCTGTTGCTAGGCGCTGTATATCACCACACCTTTCGCCCCTAGCTAAGATCTCCGCCTACATTAGATCCGCAGAACGCCCCTTTCCTTTGCCATCTTCGCGAACTCCTTCGGTTCTCTTCTCATAAGAACGTAATTAAACCGTCCTGTTCGGAACGATCAGCCTCGCAATTACCTAGGCCTACGTCTCTTTTCTAGTTCCTTCGCTGTAAAAATATGTATGAGGTCTGTACCCTAATAACAGTAATATCATGTATGAGTACTTCAGTATGAGATGAAACCGGTTGTGTAGCAAAAAAGGAACAGGGGACTTTGATTGTGATTCCATATTTACAGCCCGTAAATTTGTGGTAGAGATGGAGTCTAAGGTTTTAAGTTGAATCATAATGGAGGCTCACGCGCAGTGACCTCGCCTCGTTTGCATAAGCAAGGACGACGAAATACTTCAGTTGGTCACAATAACAGGACTTCTTAACATTAAGTATACATAGCCAGGCGGTCTAACATTTCTGACCTACAGAGCCGTTTGCCAGGAGTCATGGTGGTCTATAACGTCACGTTCTAGGATACTAGGATGGTGGCAAGAAATCATCTCCATGAGGAGATTCATACAGGGGTTATCAGGGTATACCGTATACACATGTGTCAAACACTAGCTGAGACAGTATCGGGCTAAAACAAAGGTATGAGACTCGGAACAGAGGCGAGGACACAAGATATGGGTAGAGAGAACCGGAAACCAGAACACAATCATTCACAATCAGTTCCATAAATTAAGCAGTCAAATGCACTCGGTGAGTGCTAATTCATCGCGCAACTAGTGCAACTTCTGGTGGTCGGAATACCCGTCATAGGCAGCCTGGGCGTCCCCTAAGAGAGTCTTCAGAAGTGTGCTCTCACTCCCGTTGAAACTTCCATAGTCCCAGTCGGCCGATTGAAAGTGCATCTTCTCGCCGTCCTGCAGCTTTGACAGAATAATTGATTTCCACCTCTTCCACACTTTGGTATCGTTTGGGAGAAGATCATCGAGTACCTTTGCTGGGTCTGATGGATTCAACGCCAGAAGAACGAAAACTGCCATGGTAGTGCGCGTGCCCAACATATATTTCGTCATCAAAGGTCGCTTGAGGACCACATCCAGTAGTAGCCTCCTCTGGATCTCTGCCTTATCCAACGATGATAACCATGAGTTGTATGCCCATGAGACTGCGAGCGAGGTTATGAACATAATCTGTCCGAAGAGCGCAGCCTGGGGTATGAGCAGCAGCTGTGCGATGAATTGCGTCGTGAGGATCAACGAACATATGCCGATGTTTCTGTATTCTGGTTCACTGCCGAAGTTCAGAGAGAATCTCCCACGGGTAATGGAATTGACAGCGCCCTCTTCGCCAAGTAGGACGATGGCATTGTTATCGGTGATGAGCAATCCATCACCTCGCGGCGCTCCCGGGGCTGGGATGGGATGAGAGAAAGTGAATTTTCCGGATCCGATGACAAAACACGATATTCCGCTTGCGACTATTCCGAGCAAGATCATACTGAAGGAGTACCAGTCTCGGAAGAGAGCGCACGCGATGCAGGTGCCGAAGGATACTGACATAGGGATGAAAGCGAAAACGCTGGTGTATTTTGTGAGTTGCCTTGGTGCCACGGTTCCATCAGGGACGTAGTGGAGGTCAACGATCGTGACTCCAACTGGTTGAGTTTTCCTCCCTGGCACATCAATGCCCTGCTTCATCTGGCATTCTTTTACCATCAAAGAAGCGAGGTGACCAGTTTCGGGGATGTTCGACCCAGACTCTACACCCTTGAACTTTGGGCCCTTCCAACCATCCAGCTCGAACAGCGTGGCAGGGTCGGTGTTGACGCCTGGGAACAGCCCATCCCAGAAACGCGAGTTGGCGAGTTGGCCATACCTCTTGGCGATAAGGTATGATCCGGGTGAATTGTACCATCCCAGCCATTTTCTCCCTTGGTACACATGTACGGTTGCCATCGCGGAAACAGCTTCATCACCACCGAAAAAACCTGCTACTCCAGAGACATCGAGAGAGAACTTGGAATCTGAAAGAGGTGTACTGGACATTTTTGGCTGGACGAGACTTCTGGATAAGTACATGTCAGTATGAGGATGTTCTGATTTGCTGACAGTCACAATGGAGTAGATATATGAACAGTGAACACGCACAGGACACACGTTGAGGGTGAGAGAACAACCTTGTGAGCAACGGGCGCTTGAACCTGGGATTTAAAAGTGGTGTTAACGGTAACTTACGATTAGCCCAGTCTAGGCTATACACCTATCAAATATGTCAGTACTTCGAAAGGTTCTTATGGGTAAGATGAACGTCGAAGATGAACATATATACCTAGCGGCCCACAGGTAGAAGCTGTACCAAGTGGCAGGGCGCTATTGAGACGCATTCTCTATCTAGGGTGGTGGCTGCTGGCAGCTGCACCCGAGGAGCATGTTCAATTCTTAGGCGCGACGACATGTTGCCGATCGATCAAGCTATCTTAGATTCGAGCATACAGCAAACCGAATTGAGTTTCAAATGTGACACTGTGCGTCACAAGTGCACTGCCCCTGCCAGCGCTAGTGCTGCGCCGTTTAATGCCATTCGCCATGGCAAAACCAGGCAATCTGTCACAGTTTTGTCACAGTGGTGCAGAAGTTGGCATGAGTCTAATATTACATGGACAGTGCGGGATGAGGGTATTCCCCAACTCCAGGTCCCAGGAGGGTTTTGTCGGTACCTGTGTCGGTTTTTATTTCCTTAACAAGTTGTTGTAACGTACACCAATCGAACTTGCTGTGTTTGCCATATGTGGCCCATCGAATTTGTTTTGTACATGCATAGAGTAGGTCTGCTTCATTCTCTCGACTGCCCACCTGCATATCGCGCTCAACCCGCAACGTTACCGAGCCAGTCCCGTCCAGTAATCGTGATATTATTCTTATTCTGCATGGACAAAGACATGTAAGCACCGTTGTTTTGAATCTTTGCGTCCTGTGATTCCAACTGTCATCAAGGTATTTTTGCTCAAAGGTCCTGGACTCCTGGCACAGCTTCCACAGCAAGAATGACCCAGTGCCCGTGTATCTAGTATCTGGTGATGTTGAAATACATGCAGTTACTACCTAATGTGTCCATTACTGCCACTACATTCATCGACGAAGCTGAGCTGCTGGAGAACACGGTGGTCCAAGCAAGAAGCCAGTTTCCATGGGTGAAATGAAATGTTGCCGATTGGTTAATCTCTCAGAGATCTCAAGATTCGAGCAAATTACAGCAATTGAGCGTATTCAAGTTGCGATTGAGTTTCAAATGTTCGAATGTGCGTCGCCAATGCGTCGCAGCCCACGCCTGCCATCGCTAGTGCTCTTCCTATTCGCCATGGCAAAACCTGGCAGTTGGCAGTCTGGGGTGGAAGTTGGCAAGTGAAATCCAGCGCGAGACGAGTGTATTACCCGACTCCAGAGTCCATCATGGTCCATCTGTGTACAAGCTTTGACATTAGTACACGTTGCTTACCTTTTTTGGTTGTTGCTCAGGAGGGCTTTTGCGGGGTACGGGGACGTGGAGGTTTTTTTCGTGATGCCACACTGCCGGTGCTCAGTCCAAATGAGATTCTAGCTTACTAAACACCCCGTCTGTCCTCTACTTAGAAGGAAATATGGGAAGTATAGATGCCCTAGCCAGACCACACTAACACAGCGTGAAATGAGAGCAGAGCGCCAAGCTCAAAGTGAAAAGATCACCTGACATTGTAGATATTGTCATGTTGCCTTAACAAAAGGGATTCGCGATATCGATTCGTGACCTCATCAAGATCCTCGCTGACCGGTAAATTGGCATATCTGATTTTGAGCGCAGTGGTAAGGTTTTTAAGCGCGGTGGCATGGCTTGAATATCCGGGTCGACACAATGACAGTGCCTCGCGACGGAGGCTGACAGCTCGGGTGATGTC